CAGGCGCTTGCCTTCTCTTTTATGGTGAGTATTCTCCATCTTCTGGTGAGGGGCGCGCGGGAGCCGAAATCTGGCCACTCGGACCTCGTGCGAGCCGGCACTCACCACAGCCGGCGCTGCTGGCGTGAGTCCCGTCCAGGTCCCCGGGAATTCCTCTCTGCGGGCTGTGGCAGTCCGAGCTGGACGGTTTGCGCTCAGCCTTGGGACGTCTGAGGTCGGCCTCTGGTGCCGTAGGTTCCATGTCCACTGCTTTGCTGGGTAATGGAGACAGCACAAAAAACTAACCCCCAGTCACCCTGCCTGGATTTGGGTCCATGATCTGTCATTCACTGTCTGGGTGACCTTGGGCAAAGCGCCAAACCTCGATTTCCTCATCCGTAGGATGGGGATGATAATGGTACCCTTTTTATAGGGCTAATGGTAGGATCTATGCGGTGGTCCTCGGAATGTACGTAGACCTGTGCCTGGCACATTGGAAACACTCGATCAAACGTTAGTTAGCATTATTATTAGCTGTGTGAGCCCAAGAGTATCATCCAACTTTCCGGAGCTGCAACATCTTTCTCGTCTATGTAATGGGGACAGTAATTTCCAGGGGTTGATTTGTCTGGGTTGGGGGGTGGGGTGGTGCGGGTCGGAGAGATGAGAGGCAAGCGCCTCGCACCCAGTGGTCGTTGGTGAAGTGGTTGGTGGCTGTTGTTACCGTTTACTCTTGACGCTGAATAGTGAGTCTGATCGCCCGGTCCGAGCGCGGCTTGGGGCCAGATCCTGGCCTTGCTTGGAGACAAACTTGGCGATGCTTAGGAAGGGAGGGGGTCGCGCGCTCTGTGAGTCACGGGTAGGGGGTGGAGCGTGGGGTCTGGGAAGGAGGGAGGAGGCCAGAGCCTGGAGCGCGGCAAATGTGTCCGCCCGGGTAGCCCAAGACGCGCCGCGGGCTCCGAGCCAGGAGGGGACGCCGAGCCCAGGACCTCTCCCTGGCGGGAGAAGAGTGGGGAGTGGCTGCTCCCGCCTCCCGGGTGGCAGAGCGTGAGCTGTTGAGGACTGGAAGGGGAAAGAGAGGAGGGCACTTACGTACCGCTAAAGCTAGGTGAAGGGCTCTCGGCCCTAGAGTCAGGCTTGAGTTCGAATTCTGTCACCGTCACGAGCCTGCAATATGACCTTGGGCAAGTACTGTCATCAGTCCCAGCTTGGTTTCCTTGTCTGTCCTATTCTCCTCCTAGGGGAGTTTGGGGCGACAGAGTAGGAATTCTCTCCTCTGTAGGAATCTGAGCCTCCATCCTTCCACCCACCTTCTACCCCTCTACAATCGATGAGAATAAATCAGAAAGACATGCCTGAGCCTCAGGGAAATGCTATTAAAAGGAGAATCCAGGAGCTGCCTCCTGCCCCCTCTTCCAGGCGGTCAGTGCACAGAAGGAATAGGCAATCAGTGCAATACATCTCTCTCAGTCTCTCCCTCTGTTTCCCCACCGTGGCGCCTCTATCCTCCAACCAAATCCTGCAGCTTCTGTCACTCAGGCTAATGGGGGATCCCTCCTCATTGCCCCCCTACCAAACCATTTTTCAAAAAGTTCTACTGATTAATGGAGTTTGTTAGAAAGACACCAGGGACAGTAGCACACCATAAACATGCTCTACACGGGGCATTATCCTCTAAGACACAAACTCTGATTCCATTTTTTAAACTTCCTTAAAAAGTTCTAATAAAAGGAATTTAAGCCACATTTGGCAAACAACAAATTCTACTTGCTGGCCATTCCACTCAAATATCTCTCCATTCTGTATTTCTGTTTTATTTCAAAGACTGATAAACTCAGTTATATAAAATCTACTGGGACATCACCATCAACAGTCAAAAGATGTATGACAGACTGGGGAGACAATCATCACCCTTGTCACAAAGGGCTCATCTCTTTAATGTGTAAAAATGTCCTCAAGTCAACAAGAAAAAGACCGAAAACGGACAAAGGGCCATTAACAGTTCACATGAACAAAATAAAAGTGAAATAACACTCAACATATGACAAGATGTTCTACCTCACTCAGTAAGAAAAATGCAAGTTTAAACTACAAGATAGAATTTTCATCTATCAGCTTAGCCAATATTAATAACCATTTATCAGAAACATCTTTTAAAAATATAAAATAGATGAAATCCTTCCCAGTCTTAGAACATCCCCAAGGCTGCCATGGAGTAAAATCTAGGTGCCCCCAGGGCCCTCCAGGTCTGGTTACTGACCCCTCCTCCCCTTTCTCGCCATTTTCCTCTCTCATTACTTTCTACCCCCTGGAAGTCTTAAGACTGGCTCCTTCTCCTCATTTAGAGGGGCCTGTACTTGGAGGGGGCTTCACTCCTACTCCAGAAAGTGGCCAAGACCTGGGCCACTGCAGGGTAAAGACCCAGCCCCATGCACCTTACAGGGGCTACTTGATTTTCCCCAAGTTGCCTGACCTGTTGTTACATAGCCAGGTTCTTGAAAGGCCCCTTCTCTGTTGGTACAGGAACCAAGGGTCTCAGGCAGCCTCCCTGACTCACCCTGGCTAGAACAGGCCACTCGGTGCAGAAAAATCAGAGGGTGTAGAGGTACCTGGAGCAAAGTTACCAGAAGTCTCTGCCTCATAGTCCTTTTAAAAAGTAAATACATAAGTGCATGTACTTAACTTACGTGAACATAACCGTACATACTTGGCAAGAAAGATCAACAATAAAAAATAATATAACAACAACAATAAAAAATAAAACAGCAACACATTTTTAATAAAACATGGTCCCTAATAAGTCTCACTTGGTGTATCAGCTGTAGCTCAGTTCAAGAAATAGGAATCTGTTCTGAGGCTGTAGGAAAAACGTTTGTGCCGAACCCTTTGGGAAAGAGGTTGGTGAGCCTAAACTTGTCATCACAGACCCTGTGGACCTTCAGAAGAACTTTCCAGGGCAGTGTTGATTGCATGTGATTTTTTGCTACACCTATTGAGCTAATCCCCATTTAAAATGTATACTTTCATTATGAAAAAAAAATGTCTGTTGTTAAAAATGCAAACTATACAAGAGGCGTGGAGTGGAAATTTCTTCAGCCTGACAAGTGCTTTCTAAAGCAGCCAGAGATAGCAGGTGCCGGCAGGGTGCTGGTAGGAAGTAGAGGCTGGTTGGGCGCTGGCCTCACCAGCAAGGAATGCAGCACGTGGAACAGAAGACAACCATGGATGCAGGATGAGGCCGCAGTGGGATGGAGGGATGCCACAGAGGGCGCCTGGCCCTGCTTGGGTGTGGGAGAATGAATGAATGTCAGTCAGGCAAGGGAAGATGGGAAGGCTCCCGGGACATCAAAGTATGGGCAGGATGTGGTTTCTGAGGGGGGTCTGGTATGACTGGTCTGATGTGGGCCATGCTGGGAGACTGGGTGTAGGAGGAATAACCAAGGGCAGGTCTTGAGGACTGTTATATGCCAAGCTAAGGGGTGAAGCTTCTCCCTAAGCCACCTGGAGAGTTGAATGAGAAGGCAAGTGGGTGGCTTGGTCAGATTTACCCATGTGGCAGCTTGGAGGGTGGGTTGGGGGCACCGAGTGGAGTCAGAGAGCCCCACTGGGAGACTTTATAGTAATTCAGGCAAAGTCTGAACTAAGGGAGATCTGAAGGCATTGAGGGAGACCGAGAGATGGGGAAATCCATGGCAGAAATGGGGGCATGCAGAGAGGAGCCTGGTTTGCCGGAGAGGGAAGAGGCTGCTTTCAGCCCTAGGTGTGTGGATTCTGAGGTGTCAGTGCCTGCCCTCCCTCATGTCTGATATCTGGAGAGGGTAGGTGTGTCCAGGGGGAAAGAGACCAAATGGCTTTACAAAAGTGTCTGAAGGAGCACCTCGTTGGTGGCCAGAGGCTTCCAGGTAGGTGGGTCTGGTACTGAGGAGAGAAGGTGGGGCTAGAGACCCAGTTTGGGAGAGTCCGCAGAGGGCTGGAAATGTCAGTCAGAACAGAAGATGCATGGGGAGAGGAAGGAGCAGAAACTGAAGATGCAACAGTGGGGCTGCCCCACTTAGGAGGAAGGCAAGGTAGACCCTGGGGCCGGGAGGTGGCAGGAAACAGCCCTGAGCTCTGCACCTCCACGTGATGGTGTGTGCAGAGGGGGAGCCCCAGAGCAGCTCCCAAGTCCCCCACCTGGCTTTCAGTGCTGGGAAATGTTGATGGGTGAGCCTGGAGTGCTGCCTTCTCCAGAAAAGAGTGGGGCTGAATCCACAGAATGCTCACTTGTCAGCCACATTTTGTAAGATAAGCAAGTCACACAGATTCCTGGGGCTGGAGTGGCTCCCTCCGACCTGATGCTCCCTCTCTTCTCTCTGTCTCTCTCTCTGGGTCTCCTTGTCTCCCCACTTCCTCACCATCCCCTCTTCCTCTCTAGCCTCCCCCACCCCAGTCTCAAAAATGCCCCTAGAAACACCCCAAGCTTAACCAAGGGACCTTGAGAAATGCCAGCAGGTCCCTATTGTGATTACGATCTCCTAGAACAAGCCTGAGGCGCACATGATTCCTTTTTCTTTCAGGAATCCTGAGTTTTCAGACAACCAGTTACACTAAGTGGGCAAAGTTCAGCTCAGGAGATAAATGAGGGGCTGGACATGAAGATTATTGTGTTTTCTTCTTAGACATTTTCCCAAGAGGGTCCCTTTATGCAGCCCCCTCCCCCATCCCCTGTCTCCTAACTCTGCTCCAGCCGGAGTCGTGCTGAGCCTCACAGAGGCCAGCTGTCCTGCAGAAAAACCCACATGTGCTTGGGGCACAGGGGCAGCTGGAGCGGTGACCAGGCCCACCAGGAATGCACCTGAATGTCAGACTACTGGCCTCGCTGTCTCAGAGGTGTGTCTCTTTTAAATGACCTTAAAGAGCACACTGGTTTGGTTTGGTCACTGCCCAGCCAACCTCCTTCATCCCATCCCCTGCTCTCCTTGCTGGCTGACAGCCTGAGCTTCTTTCTGCCTTGGGGGCTCCTGGCTCAATCACATGTGGGAGGATTCCCATGGAAACCTCACAAG